TATGCCCAAAGGTGGGTGATTCTGCTGGCAGCCCATGTAGATCATACCAAAATAGATGCACAGCCTGATGCATACTGGCAGGAGTAATGGAGACGATTACAAGGTCAGAGATTCACTCCCATGAGAGGAGGGTCTGTTGTGTAGGGGAAAGCTGGGGACCCCAGACTCCAGGCATGTTCTCTGGGCCTGGAGAATAATTTGCTGCAGACCCCGGCCCTTGGGGAGGACCTGTTCAGTTTTGAATAGGATGACAACCAAGGAATCCATCCACAGTGACAAGAGGCCACGTGGAGCTTGCTATCCACTGGTCCCCAACCCATGTGCAAAGGGTTTCATCCTTAGTAGAAGGGCACCAGAGCTTGCTATGAACGCATCCCCAACTATGTGCAATGAGTTGGCTTTAGTGCAGGGGTCTGCTTGTTACATTAACGGCGTTGGAGACCCGAGTGTGAAATTAGCAGTACTGAGACTACCGCTGGAGATCAGGCCTTTACCCCCAATGGAATATAAAGTGATGTGTCGCCAATTCCACAGTCCATCCTGATGTGTGGCTGCAGAAAACAGTCAGAGAGTTTCACCATAGGGTACATGTGGTAAAGGCAGTGCCATGTGGACAGCTGAGCGTTCAGCAATAAAACTGCCAGTGCCCAGGTGACTGAACAATGCTAAACAGTATCAGATGCCAAGAGGCCACAAAGAGATTATAGACACAATAGCAGGCCTGCCTAAAGTGGGCATTGTGTGTGCTACCCAAAGCCCCTACAATTCATTGTGTGACTGGAGATGAAGCCTGATGGCTCTTGGCACAATATGGTAGATCACCATGAGTTGAGTAAAGTGGTTCCCCCTTACATGCAGCAGGGCCTTAATGCCAGAATTAATGGGTCATCTGAGCCATAAGGTGGGTACATATCACTTTGCAGCTGATAGATCTAGCTCATGCTCTCTTTTCTATTGCTATGGCACCAGGGTCAAGACCAGTTTGCCTTCGCATGGGAAGGCTAGCAGTGGGCATTCACTCTGCTTCCGCAGGACACATGCACAGCCCTTCTTTGTGCCATGGGATAGTGGCAGCTGATTTGGCCCAAAGGGAGAGGCCGTTATTGATGTCATTTTGTTGACCAATGACTTTCAAATTTGCAAAAATCTGTACCTCTCCAAAATAACGCACCTGAAATCATATGACTGGGCAATCAATAAAAGCAAACTGTGGGAACCTGGATTATCTGTCAAGTTCTTGGGAGCTGTTTGGGAGGATAATACTAAAATAATCTGATGCTATTATAGATAATGTGCAAGGTTACTCCATTCCAGCCACAGTGATGTAGATGCAAACCTTGCTGGACATCCTAGGTTACAGGAGGGCATTTATGCCTCTTATAGTTCTGCTCCTATGGCCCCTGTGTGCGTTGATACAAAAGAAGGCTAAGAACTGCTCTGCTGAAACAGACGTAGCATTTGCTGCAGCTAAATGGAAAATAAAGGGCACTTGGGCCTGGAGGCTTTTGACCCAGCTCGACCCTGTGAACTAGACATGCTTGTTACTCAGGAAGGGTGTGGGTGGTGACTCTGGCAGAAATTAGGACAGCTACAACAGCCCATTGGGTTCTGGTCCCAACTCTGTAAAGGGACCAAGACTAAGTAGTTGTCTGAAAAGCAGTTAGCTACAGTGTATGCAGTTTTACTAGCTACTGAAAGCTTAACTGCTATGGCTCCTGTCCCAGTGAGGAATACCTACACAATAGCCAGATGGGTATTGGGTGGGGCAAAAAATCTCCACAGCCGTATTTTCCAGATGCCCAGTTTGGCTAAGTGGGGGCATACCTACAACAGAGAAGCACTCTGTCAACTAGCCCCTACTGGTGGAGTTGCAGGAAGTCCTGGTCCAATTATGTATGTCAGCATGGAACTGACTTCAGAAGCCTGTGTGGAAGCCAAACCTGAGGCCTCCATTTGGGCAAAGGACATTGAATCCTTACAATGAGGAATGGGCACCCATGCTAGCAGAGGCCTGGTACGTGGGCAGCATGAGTCAGGACAGTCAGTATCATGGAAGCTGTGACTATGCACCCAGAAAGAGATACTACTCTTTAATATGAAACAGGGACAAGACAAAGCAGCTAGTGGGTTGAACTATGAGTGGCATAGATAGTGGTGGCTCAGGAGCCTTCCCCTGTGGTTACCTGTACTGATAGTTGGGCTGTGTACAGGACCTGATACTGTGGGTCTCCAAGTGGAATGTAAATGAATGGACAGTCATGTATTAGAACCTGTGGGGCCAGGCCCCATGAAAGATCTATGGGACCTGGGACTGTACTCATTTACCATATCACAGGGCGTGACCCTTTGGCTCACCAAGGCAACAATGAAACAGACACCCTGGCCCGGGTTGGGTGTGGTGACTTAAAGCAGACCTGGGGTTGGATGTTGCACCATGGCTGCATAGATGCTTGCTCCATGAAAGGCGAAAGACAATGTGACCACCGTGCATGCGTAGGGTCTACCTGTGACTTTAGAGGAGATTCAGCTGTGAACAACATGCAGTGTTCCAGGACTTATCCCAGAGAACTTTAGCTCCCAGAGACCAGATGTTAAGGGAGCAGGTGCCCTGACTCACTTGCAGATTGACATCATTGGACGGCTACAACTATCTGCTGGACACCAAGTATGCGGTCACCTGTGTGGACACTGCTAATGGTTTATTAGCAGCTTATTCTTGCTTGACACATGGACCAAAAAGTAATTTTGGCAGCGCTGACACCTAAGTGCTGCATATGGACATCCGCTGATGGTGGAGAGTAGCCAAGGAACCCATTTTGCAGGTACCTGGGTGGAACAGGGCTCATGGGTGCTGGATGGAAATTCCACGTACCCAAGAACCCAGGGCTGTGGGGATTATAAAGTTACAGTGGGCCACTGAAGAAAGGACTGAGAGCTACGACCCCAATTCCCATGCTGCCTGGGTGGAGCCAACACCAGCCAGCCGTGCTATGGACACTGACAAGAGGAGTAGGAAGGCAGCCTGATCTGGTGGGGGCGTTGCTGCATCGCCACTGTTCTCGTCCAACTGCAAATACAGAGTTCAGACATTCCACTAAAGCCTGGATAGGGGCGGCAGGGCAACCTTTTATTGCTAGTCCTGACCTGGTTGGAACAAGACAAACTATGTACTGGGTATGGCCCTTGCACAGTAAAGGCTGCCCACATGCATTGGGTGGCTCTGATAGCTCCCTTGGGACATAGCCTGGAGGCCGACCTAAATATAAGTCCTTGGGTGACTGGGCAATGGCTCCCACGTTTATGTTTTATCCACGCTGGAGTGGCAGATCAGAGGGAAATGTTAAGGGGAACATTGGAACAATAGTGTTGGCTCTATGACCTGCTATGAGATCTTTTGTGGCATGTAGAACTCCGATGCCTCTTTGCTGGCAGAGCAAGTGTGGTACTCGAGACCCGGGAGGCCACAGTTGCCAGCTAAAGTGTTGTCTTTTAACCAAAAAAAAAAAAAAAAAAAAAAAAAAGGCTTGTATACTGCCAGATGGGAAAGATCTCTCATTGCTGGTGCCAATAACCTCCCTGTCTTTTTGCCCATAAGTTGGTATGCCCTAACACGTGCCCTTACGCCCTAGTGGACAGGGCTTATTTACTCTGTTACAGTTTGTATTGCTTCTGAAGGTTATGGGTACAGCGTTCCACACTCCTTACCAAGGGAAATTCGTGGAAGAATAACACACAGGTTTTAGAGTAAAAAAAAACCCAGAGCGGGTGAAATGTGAAGAAAATGGGTCTTCTTTGCCTCCTCCCACCAGCCTCTATAGCCATCACCAGTGGCTTTGCTTTCCTCCTTGGTTTCATTACCCACATATGATAGCATGTTCTGGCAAAAAAAATTTGGGACCCCAATCATGGGGCACGTGCACCTGTGATGATGGACACATGGGCTGAGGACTGGGGTATAAAGGGGAGATTTGCAGGACTAGGGGGCTCAGTTGTTGCCTGCGTCCCTGCCTGCTGGCCTACTTGTGATCCAGTCCCCTGACGTAGCATTAAAGGCATGTTAGAGATACTGAAGCCTCCAAAATTCTGTTTCAGTTTGCATGAATCAGCAATGAACCTTCCCAATCTGGGATGGGTGCAAAACACCAGGTAGTAGTAAATAAATGACTAAAGGAAATTTTCTGCAATTTTGAAGGGATAAACCATAATTTCAGTAGACTATATGAAATTTTAAGTATATTATTTATATATACATATATATTATACTTAAATAATGACAGTTATAATATATGAGATGGAAAAATTAGAAAATTGACCTATAGCACTGAATATACATTTAATTACCTTAAGGTGACCCACTCAGCATGCATTTGTTAATATAGTGAAAAACAAATGTCTTCTAATCAAGATAACATGTCATCTCTCAACAAGAACAGAAATGAAGAGATCAAACAGAATAGAATTCTGAAACCACCACTTTTCTAATTTTTTGTTGATAGGCTATTTTCCAAGTAGATTACAATATTTGTTTTTATTTTTCATGTTTTAAATTAACAAACACTCTATAAATTTAAAACTATCAAATACATATATCTCTTTAATTTGATACCATTTTAATTTAGTGTGCATGTATGTGTGTATTTTTTCCACTTTATTACACAAAATCAGATACTTTGGCCTATAAGTTAAATCCATTTTGATTCATTAATGTTTCCTTTGAATTATATTCCCTAATATTTCATGGTTGATAGACATGTGTAATATATAATTAGTCTCAACAAATTTCTTTAATTATTCATTAATTGAAAATGTATGTTTGCTAAATAAACTTATTTTTATTTAAATGATAGAAACAATATTCACAAAATGTTCTAAAATTTATCAATGTGACCTCAAACAAGAGATTTCAGAACGGGCAATCTATAATCTAAATCCAGACAAGGGTATATTTTATATAATGTTTAATATACTGAATGACATTAGGACAAATGTGATATGTGCTTTTATATATGTTTAGAATAAAATTTTCTTAACACTACTTTCCTAACAGCTTCTTTTATCTGTTTATTTCTAAGACTATAAATGACAGGATTCAAGAAAGGAGGAACTATGGTATAAAATACAGAAAGAATCATGTCTTGAATTGCATCAGAAGACACTGAAGATTTTAGGTACACAGAGATTCCAGAACTGAGGAAGAGTGATACTACAATGATGTGAGGGACACAAGTGGAAAAAGCCTTTCCTTGTTCTCTGGTTGGAAATTTGAGCACAGTAGAAAATATGCAACAATAAGACATTGTAATGATGACAAAGCAGGTACCATCAAAGAAAATGGCAGAGACAAAAATTAAGAGCAGATTGCTCAAAATGTTAGAGCATGAAAGCCTCAGCAAAGAGGGAATGTCACAGAAGAACTGATGGACCACGTTAGACTGACAGAATGACAGTCGGAGAGTGTTGCCAGTGTGCACCCCTGCATAGAAAAGACCACTAAGCATAGAGGCCAGCGTCATCTGGACACAGAATCTGTGGTTCATGATCACCGGGTAGTGAAGGGGCTGGCAGATGGCTGCGTAGCGGTCATAGGCCATAAGGGTGAGAAATAGAAGCTCAACATACACACAATAAACAACCAAGAAGATCTGACTTGCACACCCAGCCACTGAAATGGCCCTGTTGTCAGAGAGAGAGTTGACACAGGCTTTGGGGACAGTGACAGAAATGAAGCACATGTCTAAGATGGAAAGATTCCTGAGAAAGAAGTACATGGGTGTGTGAAGATCCTGGTCAAGTGTGGTAACAGTGACTATTAGCAGATTTCCTATCAGGGTGGCTGAGTACATCAGAAGGAATAACATGGAGTGCAGAAATCTCAACTCCCACCTGTCAGCAAAGCCCATGAGGAGAAATTCAGTCAGCACCGTATAATTGGGCATCTTCTGGCAATTCTGAGCTGGAAAAAGAGATAAAGTCATAAAACATGAAAATAAATCCTTTATAGAAAATATTTCCCTCTGTTTTGTGCAGTTGGTCTTTTTGTGTTCGTTATTAGTCCTTGAATTTCTTTCACTTACTACTACTCCTGGGTAAATAATATAACAAAGTGCTAGAATGCAGCTCTCAACCCATTGCCTACAACTTGTTCTCATTGATATTACTGACATTCCACAATAATGTTCATGAGTTTTATTGTTTTGATTAATATTTAATTATTAATAAATTTATACACATATTGTGATTTAGTGATTATTTAATATGCAAGTTCTCAATGGCACCTGTTAAATGTTATTGACCTGGAAATTGATATACTACAGAAAGTTTTCTTTGTGCTTTTTGAAAGCATAAAGTCTATATTAGGGTTGGGAAGAAAGAAATATCAAAATATATGGTCTGTGGATCCCAAGTGTCAATGATTAATTATAATTGGAATTCTAAAGATAAGTTTATGATTTAGGGTGATGTTATTCCACACTTCTAATACACACGGACTTTTTCATGACATCTGATATAACTGTACACTTTACATATTATTTTTAGAATCATAGTCTAAAAACTATTTTATTTTTAAGTACTGTAAAGAATAAAGTGGAAAAAAATATTTTGAATGCTAGTTTGAGATGCACAGGACTGGGTGAAGGGAAACTTGGTAAAGATTTCTTATGACCTTGTGAGGAAGTAAATACTGAGTGTGTACTATGGTATATACAGAAATTATATTTCTACATTCTTAAACAACCTACATTTAATATTATTGTAACAATATCTGGAAATGTCTTTCCACCTTTATTTTTTAAATTCTGCTTTTGTCTTATGAATTTATTTCCTTATTTGTGTCAAGTTACTCAGTTTTATTTCTTACCTCATGCAGAAGTGCAACTCCCATGAGACAATAATGTCAATTATTGCTCACCTTTATCTCTCCCTGAAGAATTATGATTTTAGTATCAATTGTTTCTATCCCCTCTACTTTAATTTCTTCCCAAATACCACAGTTGTCATTATGATCATAATTACTACTTCCAACACTATTAACCTAAAGCAGTTTGTTTTATGTACTTGTTATTGAAAAAAATTCATATTATAGTAACATGTATTTATTCATACACAAGTTAACTTAATTCCATTTTTTTCCCTCCATTGATTCTACTAGACCCTTTGGAACACTGATATTTTAAGTACCTACCATTTTAATTAGTGACTAGGGGTGGTCTAGATTTAATAAGCATTTTTATTTTCTTTTTGACATGAACTTATTTTTTATTTTTTTTGTTTTACCATGCTTTTTAATGTATAATTTATATAATTTTTCCTTTTTTAATTTTTTATTTAAAAAAAAATTTTCTTCCTCCCACCCCCTCAGGTGTAGTCCCCATAGAATTTCCTTCCCCAAGTCACCCATGAACTATCACCAAAGTCTCCTGTTCTTCTCTCTCCCTCCCTCTGATCCCTCTCCCTCCTCCTCCCCTGCACTAGGTATCTGCTTTGTAATTGTCTGGTTTTGATTTGTTGTGTTTTGTACAGTTATTTTTTTTACACTGATGTCTTATTTGGTTCCCCTATATTCCTGTTATAAGTGAAACCATCCGATATTTTTCTTTTTCCATCTGGCTTATTTCACTGAGCATAATTCCTTCTAGCTCTATTCACATTGCTGGGAGTGGTGTGAGTTTATCTTTTTTTGATTGCTGAATAATATTCCATTGTGATATATACCACATCTTCTTGATCCAGTCATCTATTTTTGGGCATTTGGGTTGTTTCCAGGATTTACCTATTGTAAATAGTGCTGCAATCAATATAGCGGTGCAGGTGTTCTTTGAATTAATGGTTTTGTGTCCTTTGGGTAGATCCATAGTAGTGGATTGCTGGATTGTATGGAAGCTCCATTTTTAGTAGACTGAGGAACTTCCAGACAGCTTTCCATAGTGGTTGGACCAGTTTGCACTCCCACCAGCAATGTAGGAGAGTTCCTTTTTTCACCACATCCTTGCCAACATTTGTAGTTGCTTTAATAAGCATTTTTCAATGCCTCTATGATATGTCATGGTTTCTTCACTTTCTGTTGACTATCAACTTCTTCATTCACAGCCTAAGGGAGAGTTTCCAAAACCTCCTTATATTTCTCAATATTATTCTTTCATTCAAAAATATAAAATGTCTCAACATTGTTTATATTATTTTTAATAACTCTCTATTGTATAAAGTGTCTCTATAGATTATAAATTTTAAACATTTTTCCACTCAAAATCTAAAAATTATAATGTATTTGGAATACTAATATGAGTATTGTAATAGCAATTTCTCCTCATATTTTTAGAAGTATTTTATTTATTATCTGTATAGGGTGAGAACCAGATTAGAACTATAACACAAATCAGTGCAAGTATTATTTTTTTTATTTTTTTTAAGATTTATTTATTTATTTATAAAAGAACCGGGGCACAGGCCAGATGTGCGGGAGGGTGAGAGGGTTCACAAGAGACAGAGCAGGGAACAGAACAGGCAGACTGACAAAATACACTGCTGAGGGGAGCAGCGGGCAAGACAGGAGAGGTCTGCTGCTCCATGTGGGTTTCCCCCCAGGCCGGCCAGGAAGGAACTGGTGCTGCAGAGTCTGTGGACAGCCTCACAGTGCAGTGCTCAACTGCCTGCACCACCAGGTGAGGCCCTGCAAGTATTATTTTTACCTTTATGGCCCTCCTCAATTTTTACGCTGTCATTACCATCTTAAATTTTAATGTTTCATTCAATACTTTACCCATGGAGAGTTTTGGGGTTTTTGACTATAAAATAATTTTTGCTCTTGTTAACATCATTTAGTACTTTGTAATTTTTTTTATTTTTATCATGATTATTTTATGAAAGTATCTATACATTCCAATACAAATTGTTGGCATTATAAACCACATCAATTCTGAACATGTTCATAACAATGAAATCCTGTGAGTGTCCTAAATGGATAGTTCTGCTACCTTCCCCACATTTTTGTCATGTTTGATTGCACAATACTAATCACAGTCTTCATCCAGAGGCTACTTTTCCATCAACTTTTCTATAGCATCTCCAGAAATGCATGAGTTGTAAAAGACTGTATTGTGAGTAGCCATGTCCAAAGTGTTTAAACATTAGATTTCACACGGAATGTTTGAATTCATTTTTCAAAATCCACATACAAACTATTGTTCCACCCCTATTATTCTCCTATATGAATGTAAAGTTTTCACATCAGTGAAGACCTCAATCTCAGCATACACCTAGTCTTCTGACTTTTTTTCCATATAAAATATTTATTTATCCAAGTCTCTTTATACATGATCAAAACAACAGTGGCAGTATAACAACAATTAACTGTCTTGAAAAATAACACAGAATTACAACAGAATGTGTACTTGTAGCATATCTTTTATACCTCACTATGATTGTTTTGTATAGAGCTTATTTCTCTTATTGGATTAAAATAGTGACTATTCTACCTACATTATATTGGTGCATGCGTGGTTCAGTGGTAGAATTCTGACGTTAATTAATCACAGTGCCACTTCTCTCCTCACTCTTAATGTCATCTTTATCCATCAAGATATATTAGGTCTTTAAATCCAGTTCACATGTAACTTTTAAGCTGCAACTATCCTTGATGATCTCAAATTTTTGTCACTATTTCATATTTTGTTTCAGAATCAATACCTGAATTACAGGATTAATATATATACATTAATATAATTATGTATTAATCATTCCTAATACATGTGTGGAAAATCCTTGAAATTTAGACTGGTTTCACTTATAGGAGGAATATAGGGCAACCAAATAAGACATCAGCATAAAAAAATAATAACAGTACAAAACACAACAAAACAATAACAATTACCAATCAGAGACATCCTGCAGGGGACCGGGAGGGAGAGGGATCAGAAGGTGGGAGGGAGGAGCACAGGGGACTGTGGTGATGGTGCATTGGTGAAGAAAATTCTTTGGGGACTACACCTGAAGGGAGGGTAAACAAATATTGTTTAAAAATGAACAATGATGTAAAAAATAAATTTAAAAAAATAATAAAGTTGTGTTCTTCTGTTCTCAACTGCATGTATTTTCTAACTATACTGTAAATAAATACAACATATTGGAAATGAGTCCACCACATTCACTGATGTTACTATTGTGTATTTGAAATTACAACATTGATCACAAATTACTTTATAAGAATTCCTTGTGCTTGCTATTCTCCTCATATAATGTACCATTTATTTATTCAGTTATTGAAATTATTATTCAATGAGGTAACATCTTAGGTTTTGCATTGATAAATATCATAGTTTCAATCCAAATCCTCTTTGAATTTCTAAAGAAAAATGAAAACCCAAATAACTCAAAAATTATAGTTAAATAACAATATTAAGTAAAGTGAACAGGAAAAAGAAGACACTAAGAACAACATTAATAACAGATTATTCACTTTTGAAAATATTATTTTCCTCTTTTTTTAACTTAAAAATTGTGTTTTCCTACCTGTCGAAGAAAATAAATTTTTCTTGTTAGTTCCTTAGATGGAGGTTTAAAGATAGCTTAACCAAATTTTCCAAAGCAGACTGGGTTTAAGAATATCATCTGCCTAACAAAGCACCATTCTTAAGATATATAAGCAAATAAGTCATTTCTGCCTTATGTAAATATGTGGACAAACCCTTGCAATCATCAACAAAGTCTTTGGAGACAAAATTGTTATCCTTCATGATGGTTGGTCACCCAAGGGTAATTTATGAAGACATTCATTTCCAGAGCACAGTTGACTAGGACCCAATTAAAACACAAGAATGTACATAAGTAGAAGTTGAAATGGAGCTTAAAATTAGTGACTGTGTTTACATGGCTGTAAAATTAACTAAGTAAACAAGCTATGAACCATAAGTTAGTTTTATCATCCTAAATGATCACTGAG